CGGGCCCCTCCCGGGGGGCGGCCGCCCTCGCCCCGCGCACCTGGCGCCCCCTCCCTGAAGGGCACGCCGTCCTCCCGGGCGGCCCGCCTCCTTCCCACCCCCGCGCTCCTAACGGTCGCCCTCGGGCCCCTCGGCAGCCCTGCCCGGCCCCCTCCCGTCCATCCGCATCCTCCGCCGGGCCCGCCCGGGGCCCCCCGACCCTAATGCCAGGCGGTCCCCGGAGACTTCCCCGGCGTGCTCCGGGCTCTTATAATTAGCTGGGCCCAGCGGCTCTGAAAGTCCAGGCGTTCCGTGACTTTGGCCAACGTGGAAGCCTTTCCTCTTAACCAAAGCACCTCCACTGGGTCTTCACCTAAATCTCCTTTCCACGAGCGACATTAGTGCTTGGTCATTGGGGTCTCCTTGCTCCCTGTTGCCTGACCGTTTTCAACACCTAAGTCTTTCCTGTCTCCAGGCCAGGCTCTTCCCAGCCCAGCGCCTCTGATGCAGCAGCTCCCCGGCCACGGCCCCTCACACTTTGGCTTTTTTTTCCCCCCCCTCCTTCTTCTTCCTTCCTAAGTTAACTTAAAAGCAACCCTCATCTCGCATTTCTTACCCGGCCGTTACTAGAATTCCCAGTAAGCTCCCAGGTCTGGTCCTTCATTAGGGCCCCGGCCCTGGGAGATGCTAAGTCAATTGTTGTTGGCCCATTCTTTCCTCCACCCGCCCCAGTCTCACTGCCCTCTCCTTATTGCTGCTTGCCCAAAGATCAGCCTCCACACAACCTCTCCACTGCTCCTCTGAGCTGGCAGTTAGTTGCACCTTAGCCCTCCACCCCCCGCCTCTGCATCTGAAGCCCTATGGGCGCCGGCAGGGTAGTCCCCTTTGCCACTCATGATGTGGGAGTTCGCTCTCCAGGTCCTTCATCTGTACTGTTCCCTGTGTGTCTCAGGCCACCCACCCTCACTCAGCTCCAGTCTTAGTTTCTAGTTGTTGGTGTGGTGTGTAATTGGGAAGGATCGAGATGGATCTGGATTTTGTGTTGCTGCCTTGGTCTGGGGACCCAGGGCCTTAGGAGACCTACATGGTGATTACAGTCAAGTGAGTTGTGTTCCTAGACCTCTGGCCCGGCTTTTTAAGCCAGGGGACAGATTAGTATTGTTGCCGTTTGAGAAATTAAAGGACTGTAGTTTGTTGTTGTCTGTGGTTGGAGTTAGGGGTAGAAAGAGTAGTCTCAATTTAAACAGCAAGGGAGAAGAGATTGCTACGTGAAAGATTTATAAAACTAAAGGAAATTTAAAACGGCCTGAAACTCACAAAGTACTCAGGGTGCTTCTGCTGCTAGTGCATCCCTTCTCCAGTCTCGAACAGAGTGTCTGGGGACATGGGGTCCCCTGTGGGGCCAGCTGCATCCTTCCTTCCTTGTTTTCCCTGGCTAGGTCCCAAGACTGGGCAAGTGGGTAGAAGGGATCAAATGAGGTAACGTGTGAAAGCGCTTTGAAAACTTAACTGGTAAACGTGCCAAGGGCCGTTATTTGTCATGATGGCTCAGAGAGGAGAGAGCTGGGATCCCTCACCAGGTGGGGGGAACATGGGCTTGCACCCCTTTCTGAGCTTTCTCAGTTACCCTCCCGGGCCTGGAGGATCTTCGCATCCTGAGAAAGGGCAGAGTCACTTCCCAGCAGGTTTGGGACTGGGCGGTTGTTGGTTGCTCGGATGTCGGGGAATTTGGGACTCCACTTCTGTTAATAGTGGTACCTTTCTGTGCCAAGGCACATAGCTCTGGAATGGGGCTAATTTTAGGGTTGATGGAATGAGGAAATAACGTTAACTTAGCGTGTGCTAGGACTGCCCATTCTTGGGATCTTTTTCTTCTCAGAGTTCTGAACCCCAGAGAACGGGCTTCCCTCCTGTTCCTGCAAGCCTGTTGTGAACACCCTGGACCAGTATATCTTTTTCCCTCAACTCCAGCAGGGGGCAGCCTTTTAATAGCAATAAATCTAAAGCTCGGAGGGAGAGGGTATACCAAGGCCTGAGAAAGAAGATGGGACAGAGGGCTGGAGGGAGCCGGGCAGGCAGATGAGGCAGGCAGGTGCTGAAGGTAGGGGTGGCGGGTAAGCGGGAAAGAGCCTGGAGGAGACACTTAGATCAAGAAGCCAGGAAAGGGTGCTGCCCCCAGTCCTGTCTGCTGTCTGTCCCGGCCCTTTCCTTCACTGGAAAGGGATCCAAACAGGTGGCTTCGAGAGTTTGTGATAGAGAAACTTTGCACAGTTTTTTTAATCTCTTCTTAAGGATTTCCCTCCTGGCAGGGTTTCAGATTTCTCTCAAGGGACAGTATAATTAGGAAAAGATTTCCCTGCTTTTAGGGGAGACTGAACTGAAATAAATTTGGTTTCTCCTGTCTTCTGTTCTTCCCCGTAAACACAGAGCAGGCTTTACCTGCGCTTGTGATACGGAGGAGGCGTCCTCAGCCCGGGCACTGTCGCCGCATTGGGCCCACTAATTTCTTGTTTTGGGGGGCTGTCATGCGCCTTGTTGGAGGCCAGTAGCGCCTTTCAAGTCACGCCTACCAAAACCGAATCCAGATACTGCCACATGTGCCCTGGAGCGCAGGCGCCCCCGGTTGAGAACCCCTGGCTCAGAGGACACAGAAGCACGCCTGGTCGGAAGGTGGGAACCACCAGCAGCTCGTGTGCTGCTTCTCAGTGCTTCCTTTGGTCTGAAGGACGACCCGGCAGCCACCGGCTGCTGGACCAGGTCCCCCTGTGGCCAGGCCAGCCCAGAGACGTGACTTTCCTCCAGCCGCTCCTCTGCTTCCTCCGCTCTGACTGCCTTTCCTTGCTTCTGCAGTTTCCCTGCTTCTCACACCGGGAACCACTTTTCCTCAGTTTGCCAGTCTGCGACCAGGACAGAAAGGTGAAGGCCGGAAGAGGAGAGCTGCCTTTGCCACTCCCTGGAAGGGAGGGAGGGTGAGTTGTCCCTGTTATCTCACAGCGGCCTTCCATGAGGATGGGGCTCTTCTGGAAAGAATCGAAGGGGCTCAGAACAGCCTCTCCTGAGGTTTGTTTGCAGGAATGTGGGGTGTTTTCTTTGGAGTGAGGAGGACCTCGGTATGTAATAGGTGTTCCCAAATGTCTCTTTTTTTTCCCCCCTAAACCTTTTTTTTTTTTTTTTTCTCCTGCCGGGGTGGGGGTGGTAAAACAGGCCATGTAACCATTTTTGAGCGTACGATTCTGCAAGGTTAAGTACGTTCACGTTGTTGTGCGACTGTCCCCACTGTCCCATCTTCAGAACTCTTTCGTTGGTCCCGTTTTGGCTGAAACTTCTTACCTATTAAATACTTCCCAACCCTGGCCCCTATTGTTCTATGTGTCTCTAAATTTGGCTGCTCAAGGAATCTCAAACAAGAGGAATCCTGTGGTGTTTGCTCTTTTATGACTGGGCTGTTTCATTTAGCATAGTGTCTTCAAGGTTCATTGGGCAGATTAGGTAAGGGCTGTAGCGTGGAAAGAAGGAACCTTACTCTGTTGTCCTGGGAGGCCTGCGTGAATCCAGTGAAAGGAAGAGCTTTTCAAATGTTTTTATTTATTTTTGAGAGAGGCAGAGCGTGAGTGGGGGAGGGGCAGAGAGAGAGAGAGAGAGAGAGACACACACACACACACACACACACAGGATCCGAAGCAGGCTCCAGGCTCTGAGCTGTCAGCACAGAGCCCGATGAGAGGCTCGAACCCACGAACACCGAGATTGTGACTGGAGCCGAAGTCAGACGCTTAATGGACTAAGCCACCCAGGTGCCCCTTTTCAACACCATGTGTCTCCTGAGAGCCACGTGTGCCGTGGTGTGCTCTGTCGCCAGGAACATTCCAGTTGGGGCTGTTGCAGAAGAGATGGTCATGCCAGGGACAAGTCCACCCTGTTGCAGACAACCTCCAAAGCTGGGTTTCCTCCTAGGACACCAGGATTTTGGAAGCGGGTCCCACTTCTGTCATGGTGTTCTGCTTTGTCTTCCCGTCTGCAGCTGTGAGAGCTACTGCCCCTTGACCCCTCTGGAAGAAACCCTTCCGCCTTTCTTCGCAGAATCGTGGAGTCTTGGACTTGATGGAAACTGTGGAGGCACTCTGGTCCGGCTTCCTCCCCAGCCAGTGAGGGAAGCCCTTGTGCAGCTCCCTGAGACCTCACCCACCCATCCTTGCTCAGAACCGCCAGGGATGCACTGCCCCCTGAGAGCCTCTCCTGCTGTTCCTTAGGAGGACAGGTCGCTGCCACTGCCACTACTTCTGTCAACCTCATTTTTACTTTATGGTGAGAGGGGCTTTTGCCTAGTTTGTAGCATAATGTTCCCTTTTTGGTTCTTAGTAGTTGTGATGGGGCTCTTCCCAATCCCTGGAAAAGTGTGGATTCCTGTTGGGTAAACCAGGCCAAGGGGGCACTGGCTGGACTCACCTGCCTGTGGCCTTCCGTTTGCCCTGTCTTTGGCCCTGGGGTAGGGGCTCCTCACCGCCGCTCCCATTCCACTGGCTTTCCCCCCAAACAGAATCCCTGGATTCTAGCCGCCAAACAGGCAGCCCTGAGAGTTTTCAGGAGGGAGGTAATTTTGCTCCTAGGTTGCATTTGTGATTCTTTCCATAACTGATGTTTTCTTGTCTCTAGGGTATTTGTGGCTCTGATGTTTTGTTTGTTAGTTTCCTTGCTTGCTTGTCTTTTACCTTTGTTCTGAGTGTCCCCCATGCCTCAACCAGCCCCTTCCCAAATACCACGCCACCCTGCGAGGGCGCTTAGGCCTGGAGAGGTACCTGGCGTGCTCTGCCACAATGCCAGCGCCTCTGTTAGCTCTGCTGGGTCAGTTAACTGGTCTTGAGGCCTAGCAGGGGGGACAGAGATGAGAAAGAGCAGGGTCCGTGGCTCCCTGCGCCGGATAACTAGAAGCCTCCCTCAGCTGTGGATCTCCCCATGTTGTGGGCCAGAGGAGGGCCAGAGGCGGGGAGACCCACCCGGCCCATTAGTTTAACCCCAGTTTTATTTTCTTGCCTCTCGGTAAGGATCTTTCCCTGATGTGAAGCTCCCTCCCTGGACACCACTGTAGTCAGGTCAGCGTCCTGTAGCTTGGAGACCTTGGTTCATTCCAGGACAGGCCCCTGCCTGAAGAGAGCCCCGGCCCGGCCCTACCTGCTTCCTGGGGCAAGGCTGCCAGGTAAGTCTGGGGTAGAGGGAGGTACCCTTTGCTGAAGCTGGAAAGGGCTCCAGCTGCCCTGTTTTCCTTTCTTCCCCCAGGTCTTCCCCCGTTGAGACAGTTCACTTAACTCATGGTGTGAGTGGCACGTGGCTGGCTTAGGTGAGTCCTTTCAGAGTTCATTAGGCGGGCTTCCATTTTTTCTTTTCTTGTGGTTCTCTAGGTGTGTGATGTGTTGTCTCCGAGGCCTAGTGTCCCCGTGTCTCCACAGGTGTTTGGAGAGTGAACGCCAGGTCCCCCCCTTGTCCCTTCAGCCCCTCGGACCTTGAGGATACACCTGGCTCCACAATGGCAGCAGAGACCCTCAATTTTGGGCCTGAGTGGTGAGTCACACATGCTTTGGATGGCTCAGAGAAACCAGGAAGAAGAGGGCTGCCCGGATTCCTGTTTCTCTCCTTTCCTGTGTCCCTTTTCTAGGCTGAGGGCCCTTTCCAGCGGTGGCAGTGTGGCCTCTCCACCCCCGTCCCCTGCCATGCCCAAATACAAGCTGGCTGACTATCGCTACGGGCGAGAAGAGATGCTGGCTCTCTACGTCAAGGAGAACAAGGTGGGGCTAGGCGAGAGTGTGGGGTGTGTGGCCCTGTTGCCCATTTGGTCTCAGCCAGTGGAGGGGGTCCAGGAGCACGTGGGACCTCCGCTCTGCCCCGGTTGACAGGTACCCGATGAGCTGCAGGACAAGGAGTTTGCTGCGGTGCTGCAGGAGGAGCCACTGCAGCCCCTGGCGCTGGAGCCTTTGACTGAGGAGGAGCAGGTGGGCCTGGGCTGGAGCCTTGCAGGGCAGGGTGCTGGGTCTCCATCTTGGAGAGAGGGGCCAAAGCTGGAAAGACAGGTGGTGGAGGTTGTGGTTCTGGGCGGGGTGGGGGGGGGGGGGCGGCGGGTGCCTGGGTCCTCACTCCCACCCCTGGCTCCCTCCTCAGAGAAACTTCTCCCTGTCCGTGAACAGTGTGGCTGTGCTGAGGCTGATGGGGAAGGGGGCCGGCCCCCCCCTAGGTGGCGCCTCCCGCGGCAGGGGCAGCACTCGGAGCCGAGGTAGAGGGGGTGACCACGTGTTCCGGGGGCGGGCCGAGGTGGGGCCCATGGTTTTGAGGGTGCAGAGAGACGATCGGGCAGGCTTCCCACGTGTATCTCCTTTCTCCAGGCCGAGGCCGTGGTGACAGTTGCTTTTACCAAAGAAGCATCGAAGAAGGCGAAGGGGCCTTTGGTCGAAACCCCCGGGAGATCCAGCGTAGCCAGAGTTGGGATGACAGGTGCTAGCAGCATCATGGCAGAGCAGAGAAGCCCTGTGGCGGGTTCTGGTGTCGTGTGGAGGGGTTCCGCGCCTTTGGCATTAGAGAGCAGCAGGGGATTCGCTGAATAAGCCTTGGTCACAAGTCTTCCTCTTTGCCTCCCAACTCCCTGCTGCCTTCCTCTCTTCCCATTTGTCCTGTGACCTCCTGTTCTAATGTGTCCCCTTGGGCTCCCTCCCGAGACTGACTTTTCTCTAACCACCCCCCCCCCCCCCCCCCCCCCCCCCCCCCCCCCCTCTCCGGGCAGAAGGGACAAGTTGTGCAGAGATGCTGCAGGTTGGGGAGGGGAAGCTGTCCTGGTTTGACCAACACCTTTTCCTTCCGCAGAGGCGAGAGAAGGTTTGAGAAGTCGGCCAGGAGGGATGGAGGTATGGAGAGTGGCAAGGGCGATGGCCGCGTCCTGAGGGTCCCTGAGAGGTGGGGGGAGGACTGAAATGGGTGACCACGTGAGGGGAAGGTGTTTTCCTGAGGGAGGTGGTGGGAGCAGGCTCCCTGGAGCCTGGGCTCCTCCTTTATCACGAGGTGTGTAGTAAGAGTCTTCCAGGAACCGTGGCTGCCCTTCCACTGACTCTGTCTTCCCCTGTTTCCAAGCGCGATCCGGGTTTGAGGAGGGAGGGGCTGGCCCGAGGAAGGAACATGCCCGCTCAGATAGCGAGAATTGGCGTTCTCTCCGAGAGGAGCAAGAGGAAGAGGAGGAAGGCAGTTGGAGACTTGGGGCAGGACCCCGGCGAGATGGCGACCGCTGGCGCTCAGCCAGCCCTGGTGAGGTTGGGGCCGGATGGGTGTTGTGGGGGGCATTGGTGGCAAGAGCTTCCTGAGGGTGTGTTCCCGCAGCCGGGTGGAGGGAACAGAAAGTTTCCTGGAGTGGAGCGGGTGGGAGGGCAGACTTGGAGATGCCGGTTCCCGGTGGGGGCGCGGGGGGGGGGGGGGGTCCCCAGTGGGCAGCAGAAGAGCGAAAGCTAGCTTGCCCAGGATACTGATTCTCCTTCTCTTGACTTTTTCTGCCCA